CAACCAAAATTGGAACTGGAACTTCCATTGCTAAATAATGTGATCATTAAAGAGAGTTGTGTCCCATTTTGCAACCTTTTTTTTTTGCCATGATTGTTAAGTAAATCATGGGGTGATTGTACAAGTCCGGCCAGTCATTCTCTCAGCCCAATACATCTCATAGGGTTGTTGTGGGAAAAATAGGAGGTTGAAGGACTAGGTATGTTCACATTTGCTGAATTCTGGAAATTTAATGCATGTTATCTGGAGAGTGAGGGAAATGGCAGTACAATAGAGTGCAATCAGTTTCATTTAGTACAAGGCTTAGAAATAGATTGATTTAGTATTAAATACAAAGCTCTTGGAGATTAAAGGACTGGTATGTACCATCATGTTAACATCTTCTCCTTCCCCTCTATTTGCACGCTATAGAAAAGTAGTTTTCACAATATGTGCGCCCAGTCACCAAAACAAATATAAAGAAGTTATTATAGCCTTCTTGGAACAGGAGTAAATTTCCTCCTAGGACACAATTAAGACTGAAATTTCATTCCTGATTTAATTAAATATTTATGCCTTCAATGTATTCTTCAAATTAAATGAAATGGGGTCAGTTTGAAATAATGATTTTTGAACAGATGTAGCACCAGAATATTAGCTTTATATGCTTGAGGATGGAAAAGTGTGATCATGAAAAATGTGTTTTTGACTGTGCATGGTACCCATTTTTTGCAGATATGTTGTGCAAACCTAGCTCATGTGATAAATGTACAGTATCGTACAACTCAAAATTGGCTTCAGAAAACAATTGTTATATATTCACGGGTCAGACTGTTGCGAAACTTAGTATGTGTTTTTCACCCATGGGAAATAATTAATTTAAAAACAGAGAGATTAAGATCAGTCTTTAATATGACTTTCAAAGATAAGGGATTATTGGGAGCTGAATCTAAAAATGAATCCTGCTATCTAATTTTGTTTCAAGGCTGTAATTTAGAATGACATGGAACCAGAAAGATGCTGAAGAGTTAAGACCACAGGCTACTCCTTTCTCAACAAACGGTGTCAAAAGTTATAGAATGGTTGCATTTGACTAATAAAAAGAGACCAATGAAAATACTTGGCTTGGAATTTGAACTGAAATTTAACCTGGATACAGAAGCAAGGGACATCATACAGGTAGCCTTCTGACCACAACTGAGCCCAATTTCTGTTAAGCAAGACATTTGAGTTTTGCTCATTTTACAATTATTATTATTATTATTATTATTATTATTTAATGGATTTATAGGCCGCCCAATCCCGGAGGACAATTCATGCCACAGTTGTTAAATGAATCACTGCAGTGATTTAACCTAGTAACAAGCTTGTTAAGTGAATTTGGCTTCCCATTGACTTTGTTTGTCAGAAGTTTGCAAAAGGGGATCACCTGACCTCGGAGCCCTGCAATCATCATAAATACAAGCCAATTGCCTGAATTTTGATCACGTGATTATGGGGATACTGCAAGAGTGGTAAGTGTAAAAAATGGCCATAAATCAACTTTTTTCAATGGCATTTGAGGTCACTAGAGCCGAGGTGGCACAGTGGTTAAATGCAGCACTGCAGGCTACTTCAGCTGACTGCAGTTCGGCTGTTCAAATCTCACAAACTCAAGGGTGACTCAGCCTTCCATCCTTCTGAGGTGGGTAAAATGAGGACCCGGATTGTTGTTGGGGGCAATATGCTGACTCTGTAAACCGCTTAGAGAGGGCTGAAAGCCCTATGAAGCGGTATATNTTCCTTCACTGGAATGAAAAAGACACATTAGATGATTTTCCAGATTTCATGAGCAGTTTTTAAGTTGACTTTGCATGCTGTAGGAAAAATTAAAGTTTGCTTTCATCTTACAAAAACTGAATTCCATTTGATGTGGGTTTATACATTAATTATGACTTTTTTTAATAAGCTAAGGCTAAAAATCCTGGTTTAGTACAATAAGTGAATATAGTCTTATAGAGAAGCTACTTTACTTTGCATAACTGAACTTTTAAAAATGAGTAGCATGTTTCTTAAATGTTTGAAGGTTGTTTATTTAAATAATCTATAGTTAAGATTAGTCACAATGTTCCCACTTTGGACTTCACCAGCACAGTGATAATCAAAAATGGAATAATTATTTTTTAAATTATCTTACTTCTGACTTTATTAGGGAAAAATAGCAACAGAAAGTCTTTTTTAGTATTGGGATAAGTATCCTAGTGTTCCTCATTTGCTTCCATTAGCAATAAAAACATGGACAAGAGTTAAAGATTGTAAAAGCTATACAATTATTTGTTTGGAGGGTATAACTTTTGCTGGTTACGTTTTTTTTTTTAAAGCTAAATGGACACAATGTTCCTTGTTGGACCACAATTCCAAGCCTTTATTTAGAAAAAATAATAATGTATTGCATTAAAATATTACTTTTTTATTTTAAAAAAATTGGTTGGAGGCAATATTCCTATGCATAATAAGATAAATTAATGTGGTAGAATCTTGTAGATTTCCCTCCTTGCTAAAATTCCAAAGCTCTCTATAGACATTTCTTTTTTTAAATACTTACCAGCTATAGGCTTTGTATATCCCTTTTATATAGACGTTCTTTATCCCTCATTTAAGGACATAGATATAATAAACTGCAGCGAGTTACCTAGACAAGAATGAGAGGAATTCAGTCTTTTCTCCCATAGCTTGAAAGATCAAATTCAACTGGACTGCTATTTTTTTTTGTTAGCATTTTGGATTGGGTGCTGTACCATCAAATATTTTATTGTTACTTTCTTTGGATTTTGTTATCACCCTGTGTTTGTAATATGTATTGTTCTGAAACATTTTGCATGATTATTAAATTATAGAGGCAAAAGAAGAGCAGGATATATCACTCTTCCTTCGAAGCTGAATCTGTTAGGCTTTGTTGATTCCACTGTGTACATTGAACAGCAATTCTGTTAAGATGTGGCAGTGTTAGAAAGGCAATCTCTACTAGATATCTACTTTTTGCCTGGATTTATCCATATGGATATATCAGAAAAAAATACACAATATAAAACCATATTCACATGCTACCATGAACCACAAAATAGCCAGCCACATTTTAGCCTACTATGTTAATGCTTGTCAGTTTAAATTAGGCTAATAGAGAAAAATGTTAAGTTAATCATGGGTGAGCAGTTTACATCAAGAGAGCCATTGTACAACTTAGAAAATCTCTGTTCTTCCATTTTTATTTACGCATGTCTGAAAATGAAATGTACTCTTAAAGTTGTAAAATAGATTATGTTTTGCATATGACAATTTTTCTAAAATTCTCATTAATGTTTTCCAGCTTTGTAAATATACCAGTTCTCATTATCACATTTTAAAACCAATATACTGTACTAAAGTCAGCAGAAGTAATATCATGTAAAACTGGGATGGCCGGTTGTGGCTGGTTACAGCTTCTGGTTCATTTGGTGAATCTTGAATTCGCCAATCCTGATCTAAAAGAGCTAGTGAAGCAAAAATTTTATATAAAGTGGAACGTTTAGGGATTGTATCATCCTCTGATTGGTGAAATTGCTGGATTATAACATAAGATTGAGGGAAAGGAGCAGCTGAGGAGAAATAATGGAATTGAGGAGAGAAATTGTATCCGGTTTCAACCACAACCCATATTTATAAGCATTTTTCCAAGCACTTTGCTCTTGGTCCTAATGATAAACACTCAATAGATTTAACTGACTTATGTTCAAGTTGATATTTCTCAGCTAGGCTATGCTTTTGCATTGGGCCTTAGATCAATTGACTGATATCGTGAATTGTGTGCCAAATAGATCAGGACACTCTTTTGTCTACAGCTTTTAAGGTTATGCTTCATTTTATCATTTTATGTTGTTCCTAGTTATAAGTGCATAAAAAGTAATGCTACTATTACTACTATTTTCAGAAATAATTTCAAATGAAGTCAGTACTTTGAAAGAGACTTATATCACTTTACAGGCATGGGCTGATTTTTCTAGAAATTGTCTCTTCCAATTTAACAAGATGTAATCCATGAATACATATATTTATATATATAGATGACTGTAATGGAATATCCTTGAATGTAAAATTGCTGCCAGTGGTAGAGAAACTATGTGCATCAGTATTCCTACCTAAATAAGAAAATAAGAGTTTGTAGATAACCGTATCAGTTTTGAAAAATCTCAGCTATTAATCTTTTGTAGCAGAAGTACCCCAAATGTAAAGGTTAAAAATATTGGAACTCCTGTTTGGCCAGAACCTAACGTATTTTTCGGAGTATAAGACGCACCAAGGTTTTGAAGAGGCAAATTTAAAAAAAAGTTTTTGCACTCTGCAATCCTTCCCAAAATGGCCCATTTTGCACGAAAATGGGCCCGTTTTTTCCCAAAAAAAAGGCATGACTAGCTTTTCAGAAGTTAGCAGAGTACTCCTGTAAGGGGAAGGGCAAAAATGAGCAAAAGCCAGCAC